GCCTTGATTTCGATTAATCTTTAGATGGTTTGTTATATGTATTTATAATACCACCAACGGTGCTTGCTTACTGCAGTTGCTTAAGGTAAATACTTCTCAATTATACCCATTTTCTATTAATACTCTTATTCCACTTTATATCTATTCTAATACTTACATGGTTATTTGTACATGAAATCAAATATTTGTAATTTTTTTGCGAATACATATTTTTAGCTTCAATAACTAGGATTGATTAAAATATTTCAAAAATTATTATTATTGACTAAATTATATATATATATTATGTGTGAATATATTTCTTTTACTTCTTATAAAGTTCTATTTGTAAATATGGCAAAAGCAACTTTTTACATCTAATGATGTACTCAGAGACGATCCTAATGGCCTCTTATACCAATAAAATTTATATCTTGAATAAAATATTATTTATAAGTAATCTGTAATTAAACTTTTGGAATTTAATCTTACGTTTCATATTTTTAGTTATGTTTCAAGTTAAACGTTTTTGAACTGATTTTAAATTCGATAGGACAGTCACAAAATATATACATTATTATGTACACAATCACAAAATCTACATCTTTCATCTTTTTGTGGGAAATTAATTTATAAGGTGTAAGTATATCATAGAAAATTTGAGTACTCAGATGCCCTATAAAAATATCTTTCTCTCCTATAATGCTAAGACACAAGCTTTCTCGCGTGAACCTCTTCTAATGCTGTAGTTTTGAGTTCCAAGCAAACATTGTGACACTTATATTTTAACTTACAATTTTTATATTATTTTTATTATAATAGTTTAAATAGCAGTAAAATTTCAAATATTTTATATTTAAAACGAGACATTTATATAGTTCTTGGGTGACACATATTATATGAACTCTTACTTAGAAAAAAAAAAAAAATTTTTTGTCAGTAGCGCGTTTATTGTTCGAATCACACCCACGTTTAACATATTGGACTATTCAAAATAAACTAAACTAGACATATATATTAAAGATCTCGAAAGCGATGTGTTTGTTATGAAAGAAATATATAGAAATCACCTCAGTCTAACTTTTCTAATAGAATACATTTTAAACAAACCAATTCAGTTATATAAGAAAACGATAAATATCCATAAAAACATAAGCATCAAAGAAAGTGCCGTTTACTTTTTTGAAGTCGGTTGAAAGTATTACTGATGTAATGTTGGATTCTGATCCTGAGATAGTTAAAACGACCTTTTTTTTAAAAAGTAAACATCTCAAGGGCTTATTTCCAGGTACACATTTATGAAAAATCCCATAATTTTGCTTATCACCGAAAAGTGCAAATTTATTATGATACTAGCGACTCTCCCTCGCTCCGCTCGGGTTCGTCCCTTGGTACGATATAACGATTAGTATAGATATTTTCCCGCAGTAAAAAATATCCTAAATGTTGACCCGGATAACCAGCTTTTATCGTACCAAATTTCATCAAAATCTATCCAGTGGTTTTCTCGTAACGCGTTCCCCGACAGACAGACACACAGACAAAAATTCTAAAACTAGATCTAGAGTTGGCCTCTGTATCAATAATAATGACTATTTCAATTAGATTTTCCAAAAAATATTTAATGTACAGATTCGACTGATTTAGAATTTTATTATAATATGTATAGATAAAATAAACATGAATGAAATTGTGTGCTTTTTATATGTAGCAATACCTAAAAAGATTATTGTAGCGGAATATCTTGTATATTATTATCTCTTTCGAGGTCTACTTGTGTACGCTTTTAGTTCTTTAAGGCTATATTTGGACTAAAAATAATAAAATAATATTTAAATCCACTATCTCTCAGGTAAAGTTTATGACTATTTATACGCAAGAATAAAAGAGAAAGCAAGACATTTTTTCTATTTGTAAAAATGAAGAACTACTACACAATTTTAAATTGGCATAAATTGATATAATCATTTTTAAAAATAAGCGAAAAGTTCAAAAATATCCTAGTCATATGATTAATTAAAAAACATACTATATAATCTATAATAGTAAAAGCCTATTACAATGACGAGGCGTATTTTGTTTACTACTTCACAAAGTGAGCTCTAATAATTTTCAGATTTCAACTGAATACGCCCCATAATTTTAGGGTAGTATGATCAATTTTCTGAATTCGATAACAGAATTCTCATTAGTAACTAATTTGTTTTTTACATTTAAAACGCTAACTGTTGCACAATCGTTTTTATATAAAATTTTGTATTAACTTTATTGGGAGTAAATTATCTATATTTTTTATATATATCATGGTAAGCCAAATACTAAAAAAAATTTATTTATTTTTTCCTAAATTTTTATGCGCTTACTCTCGTAGAAGATGTAGAGACTAAGAAAACTATAACTCCTTATTATCTTTCTCACTCTCTCTGTAACCTGAAAAAATATATAATTTGGCCCTTGATATTAAATATTTGGTGAGTTTTATCAAAAAAATATTCTACAGTTGCTATAGTAATAGATAACTATAAAAGGAAATAATTAAAACAATAATATTCTAATTTAAAACTTTATTTCAAATATTTGAACAAACTTATTTTTTCACCTGTTTGTGAACGAAGAACGGTGGTTATACAAATCTTGCTGCTTTCATCTCAACCAGATCAAATTCGTATCTATAAGGGCAAAGTAAATACTTCCTGTATGGTCGTAAAGTAAATATTTTCCCAACAGATACTGAATTGGTTTATAACTATTGATATAATACGTATGTACGTGCATTCTACGTAAGTGAGATGGTACTCATAAAAGGTTTTAAATAAAATATTTATACCCCTATTATATATATATATATATATATATATATATATATATATATATATATATATATATATATAATATATATGTTGTTCTTCTTTTAAAAAATGTGCAACATTCGATTATCGACACTCAGTTGTTTTTTTATTCAGCTTAGACAAGAAAGATGGATACTTCGAGAATTCGAGTGATTTTTGATTACGAGCTCCGACGCGGTCAGGTCAGGCGGCTCAGGTCATAGTCCACCACACTACCCAAGTACGGGTTGGCGGACGTCACATATCTTTCGAAAACTTGCTAGATTCTTACAGACATACAGGTTACCTCACGATGTTTTCCTTCACCGTAATGCAAGTGATAATCATGTTAGAAATGATTCGTACATGAAAATATCAGAGGTGCAAGACCCGGGATTTGAACCCGCTTCGATTTACTAGTTAGTTATATTTTTTCTTTCGACACTAAAACTAGTGTCCTCTGCTGGTGCACTTGAAAACTAATTCACAATACAATTATGCATTAGCACACTTCGGCATTCTGCGCCAAAGTGCGGCATTATGCTCTATAATTGGAAAACAGGGTCTATTAAGCTGTGTAAACTTAATAGTTACCAAATACATATTACATTAATTTAAATAATAACTACATTTTTGGCTAATTTGTTGAGTTCATGGACATCTAAAATGTGTAACTAGTATCTAGTGTAATAAAATATTACAGAATAAAAGAAGAATAATCTAATATATAAAATTTCCATGTCACAATGTTTGTTACCGTACTCCTCCGAAACGGCTTTACCGATTTTTACCAAATTTTATATGCGTATTCAGTAGGTCTGAGAATCGGCTACTATCTATTTTCCATACCCCTAAGGGATAAGGATAAGGGTGGTCCTCCCAGACCCCACTCCAGGGACGAACCCGAGCGGAGCGAGGGTGAGTCGCTAGTCTACATATAAAAACTAATTGCTGTTCGTTAGTCTCGCTAAAACTTAAAAACGGCTGGAACATTTTGAATAATTGTTATTTTTTTGTTTAGTTGGAGGTGTGTCAGAGGTGGTTTAAGTATAAAAAATAGAAAAAATCCCAAAAATAAAACCAGCTGGAAAATTGAAACGTTCAGAACTGTTTATTTTGTATCTATGTATGTATATATAATATATAGTCTATTACGTACTAATCGATAAAAACTAAAAAAAATACAATCGAATTGAGAACCTCCTCCTTTTTGAAGTCGGTTGAAAAGTATCTAGGGACGAACTCGAGCAAAGCGAGGGTGAGTCACTAGTTATAAATTAAAAGAGACAGCGATTTCTTAAGGCATTTCTTATGAGTTAAAAAGCAGGAAGGTGCATAAAAATATTAATTACTTAAAAAAATATATTAATACATTCTATTTTACAGATTATTCCATATATTATAGGTTTCATCTTGTTTATCATATTATAAATTATTGAAATGAAGTCAACACCGATATTCGGTTTTATAACAAATATATTTAATAAATCTTTTATTGTACCTCGCAAGCTACAATTTTTTCTTTAAGACGTGAATGCGAATTTTGAATATGCTGATTGTATCTGTGATGAGTGTTGAAGTAGGGAAATTTACGTTCATTGCAGATACGATGTTGATTGAAGCGGAAATGTACATATTGTAGAAATGCCGGAAATTACAGTTTAGTTATGTGCAACATAAAACGTTGCCAAAATTTTATTCCCTCGACTTTGTGTAAATATTCACTTTGATGGCGTTTCAATTAAAATTACTTCTTAGTTCTAGTTTGAGGTATTGACTGAATATTCAGCAGTATATTTTATAATAATTTTTCTTACCGATACTAATATTATAGATAAATTTATTACTACAGCAGGTATTAGAATGTAGGCTTATTAAAATTTTACGGCTTATAAAATCATTTTTTATTAAAAATATCTTATGATTGAGTATTAAGGGATCGAGTAAATTTTTATTATTAATTTATAAGAAAGTTATTATTTTTTTATATCTCCTATATATATTCACATATTTACGAATTGAATATTATAATTTTAATTTATATTGTAAGCCTTCCCTGTTACTAATGAAGTGATAAAATTATAAGAACCTTATTATATTTCAGCGCTCTGAGTCTCAAAGTTACTATGGAAGGAAGTATAATAAGATTTATTCTTAATTATTCTTATTGTTTCAGATTCTTCTGAAATAAAAATGATTACATCTATACATCAAACATTTTATGTTATAATTATAACACTATTAGTAGGTGAGACATAATCTGATATATTTTATACATTTTTCAACATGCTTTATAATAGTATAATATAACTTTAATTACAATACTTTATTTTAGGGCAAGGCGATGGTCAGTGGAAAAAACCTTCGAGGGAAATGGTTGAACAAGATCTTAAATTGTATAAAAAAATATCAGGTATGTCTATTCAGTTGATATTTTGAATTTCGTATACCGTTATATATTTGTAGAATGCCAACAAGGGTAATACTTTGTTACGTTCAAAGAACAAGCCCAATTTTTGTCGTAATTAAAAATAGCCTATGCAGTTAGTAATTCAGCTTCCTATTAGTGAAAGAATTTTAGAATCGGATTACTATTAGACAATACCTTTTATAACCAAACATACAAACTTTTCTTCTTTATAATATTAGTTTAGATAATCTATATCAACGAAATAGACGTCGATTTATTCTTATTAATGTACAAATATTATGTACATCATAGTATATTGTTATAGTATATATAGCTTTACCTTGTCTAACAAGGACACTGATAAACACGAAACTGATATTATTATATCTTCGAAAATACGACAGTGTTCAATAATTATTTAAAGCGAAGTAAACTCTATTTCACGCTGAAATATTACCTTTTTGAGCTTCTGAACCTAGGGTATGTAGCTTTACGTTTGTATATTATAGAAAACTAGCATTGCCCGCGGCTCCGCCTGCATTCAGATGAACAAAAACCAAATTCTTAGGTTTTACATATTAGTATACACATTACAATTACATTACAGATTTTGTATTTTTTCTCAGAAATGAGTTATTTTTCCACGGTAACAAGTATCCTATATGTTGACCCTGATAATCAGCTATGACCATACCAAATTTCACTAAAATCCGTCCAGTAGTTTTTCTGTGATGCGGTAACAGACAGACAGACAAAAACTCTAAAAACTATAGATTCGGCCTCTGTATCGATAATAATGTCTATTTCAATAAGATTTTCCAAAAAATATTTAATGTACAGATTTGACTCAATTAGAATTTTATTATATGTATAGATTATTTCTCTATTGGTGAAACTATTTACTTCATAGTAATTTCACGTAGAATATGAGTCTATAACGTATAAGTAGTGAATCAGTTATAATAGATAGTAAAAAAAAAATGGCTGCGTGTAACTTATGCGTGCGGTTGAAGTAAAACTTCTTTGGCAAATATTGCAATAAAATTAAAACAAATAAATAATTAAATAAGACATATTAGGCATATTAAAATCATATTTATATAGAATATCATATACGGAAAGAATATAAGAATATAATAATATATATTTGTCAGAGAATAACAACGGTTACCATGGCAACAGTTAGTCATAATAGCATTTATTTAATTTATACACATTCATCCCACTATAATAAATATTCATTTTTATAAGTAAAAATAACTTTAGTTTCTTTTACCAAGCTTAAAAGTTATTTTAAATTTTATAACAATATTACGTAACATATTATTCAGTATTATTTTTCACTTCCTGTGTAATGTATTCTATCTCATTCTCGCGCCGGCTTAATCTTATATATTTATGTGTTTGTTTGTTTCTCGTGTCGCATTTCCATTTCATCGAGTTTCAAATCCAAACGATTCTAAAGAAGTTTCACTTCAATAAAATCGTTGTTCAGTAACTTTACATAGACTTAAAGTGTACTTTTTGTCCTCATACATGTATGGGGAGATACGTCTATGTTTTTTATTTACTGATATTAGTGACTTTATTTAATAAACTAATGAAATTATTTTCCTTGTAATTTTTTAACTTTAATTCAAATTAACATACATTAAAATAATATTAATGAAACAATTTCTTTACAGAAAATATTAAGCGAGAATTCGAAGCTTTTTATGGGGAGTATCCTGAAGGACCTATAGACGATTACTTTCTCGAAGAGATTGATTATGTACAAAGTAAAATACATAAAGTGCGTTCAAGTATGAAAGCAAAAGAGAATAAAGAATTATATTTTCCCCGTATAAATATTCCTACGGAGGACAACAATGATATAACCCTTCAAAAACTGATTCCTAATAACTCGGAATTTGCGACACAAAAATTTACTAAGGAATCTAATATAACAAATTCTAAGTGGCCTAAATTTGAAGATATTTTATTAGATATAGGAAAACGATATGATTGGAAAAATGATAGATGGATAAAAGTCAAAGATAAACATAATATAAAAGGAAAACTAAAGCTTCGCAATATTAGTAAAAATATGGATCATCAAAAACATAACTTTAAATATAGAATAGTTAAATTGAACAGAGCAAAAAGCAAAAGAAATATCGTCATAGCCGTCACCGCTGTTAGATAGAATTAACTAAGCAAATATAGTGAATATAAATTCGCAGCAGATTTTAAAAATAATATAAGTTTTAAGGGACCAAAGAGGCTGAATTGCAAGCTTGCTTATCGAATAAATTGGTATATGAGAATTACAGATAGCTGCGTTATAAAGTTTTAAAAAAATAGACAATCATAACAATTTTCCTTCAATAGATATCCTCGCTGGCATAATCCATATCTGTAAGTAGGCGTATGAGCAATAATTCTGTTGTTATAATTCATGTTTCCGTCATATTCAATGTTCAGAAATAAATTAAATTATGAATTAATGTGTTTTATTATCTGTTCAATATTATCAATGTTAATATCTTCCCAACCGATGATGGACATGGTAGCCAATCTCAATATTGGCAATGTGTCAGAAGTATGCTTGCAAACACAAGTGCACAATCTTATTCCTTGCATTCTTATCTCCGATCGGTTACTAAGAATTTCTTGACAAAAAATCCCGTAGCTATCCCTAACCCGACCTTACTACCCAGAACGCAGGACTCGAACCCTGGATCACTAGATCTGCAGTACAAGCTACCCATTAAATCAACGAAGCAGTTTTCTTATATTAGTAATACAGCAATATATGTATTTGTATTTATTTCTTCCAAAATATATACGTACATCGTTCTCACTACATCATAGTACTATTTTTATTATATCGTGAGATAGTGCCCTTCCCTCGATATATAGAACCCTTGAGACCTTTTCTTATTAGTTGTAAAATATTATATAAAATATAATAGATGTTTCAGATTTGGTATCGCTAAAATATCTATGTGTTAAAAATATATAAAACTAGAATTGATATCACAGACATACACTGCAATTTTAGTAAGTGAAACAACCGAGACCTCAGCTATAGGTTTTTGGTATTGATTATAATATATTTATGCATCAAAATTTATTTAAAATATACATATTAAAATAATGATTTAATAACATGACATACACTCAGCGGCAAAATTATCAGCCCACCCTCATTTTGTCTAAAATTTCGAAAAAAATATTTTTCCTATTCTTTTGTACTATGAAATTATTTGAATATTTTTATAGTATAATTTATACAAAATCTACGTTATTCTAACTGAATTAAATCTATTAAAAAACAATAAAATAAAAAAATGTCATTAATTGCTGAAAATGACAATAATTTAACATTTTTTTTATCTTCGATGTCCTGAATTAGGTATTTGTTATCTTTGGTCTTCACGTTCTTAAGATCCTGTCTCCTGAAACCGCCTGTGTCTCTTTCAGTTAATGAAATATAAAAAAATCAATATTTTAAACCGACTTCAAATAAAAAAGTTGGAGATATTTTTGAGGTACGTACGTAGGTCAGGTACTGTTACTATTATTTGTTATTTTTCCCAGATGAGTAAAAATACCAACTGGCAAAGTGAAATTCCTGAAAGGTTCTATAACTGTCTTTTTTGACGAATTGTAAAAAGGAGGAAGTATTTAAATTGACAGTTTATATTTTTTGTTGCTATTTTGCCAATTGCATCGATCAGTATCATAATCTTTTTTTTGATGAATAAAAAAAATCTATTACGTCCATCCAATTTATAGCAACAATTTACTAATAATAATTATACTATGATATTATTAGAGTCCCTGTTGATGCTTCTTCATGACTCTTTCTCTCGATTTTCAAAATTCATAGGTAATACGTAGGTTATCAAATCATGTTTAAAAAGTTTATTGTGAAATAAAACGTTTAAATAGCTGAAACATACCTTAGTCGTAATAAGTACTTCTACTGCCAAAACTAATAAGTCGTTGTTATTCCATAGTATTAAGTTCTATTCGCAAAATGAAGGTGCAATTCATTCTAGGGCACACACTTATCGCTTCTTAGAGTTTCCTTACGGATAATGTTAGCTTGGTATCTGTACGCTCGGTTCCTTTGCAAATAGCGTTATTTACCTCAAGTCCACTAAGTCCTTTTTCAATAATAATGTTCCTCGCATCTCTATAGTTACTTTAGCAACTCATACACCTATCTTTAATGAAAACTCTTCATAATATAGTCATAAAGCTAGACAGCTGCCTATAAATAAATAATAAATAAATATGTTAGGACATTAACACACAGCACCATCTAGTTCCAAGGTAAGCTACGAGGCCTGTCTTATGGATATCAGATAGTTGATACACCACACACATATAACTTTAAATACATACATATTATAAATATAAACACCCATGACTGGAGTACAAACATTCGTGCTTATCACACAAATGAATGCCCCCAGCGGGTCTCGAACCCGCAACCGCTGGCACAGCAAGTAGGGTCACTACAAATTGAGCCAAACGTGTCGTCAAATTATTATTATGAGAAATGACATATTAAAATAGGGAGTAGTTGCGAAACCTGGAAAAAATAAATAGTGTAGTAGTTTACTTGTGAATAACTAAAAATGATTACTATTATACTTCTTCATTCAGGTCACATTGTACCAATTTTTATAAACTTGACAACTTTCTTTACCGACATGTTTCTCGTATACGTATGCCTAAAATGAAAAACTTGGATTAGATACTTATAAAAAACAACAAACGTGATCTCGAAAGCGTACGTGCTTCGAATGGTATTACAAAAATGTTTGACATTACTACCATTTAGACACTGTCCTTTCAATTGTCAAAATGATCTCCAGATGATTGTCTTTATTTGTACTTTGCGTGAAATTCGAATTTTCTAGTTTTCTAGTCATTTATGGCACTCGCCGGCCGCTACCGCTACCGATTTTCAGGTTGCGAATATCGCTGAAGACAATGCGATAAACATTTTTTACGACACAGCAAATGTAATTTCTTTTAGCAACTGAGCTTATTTTTTTATTTATTTGTAAATATGATAAATAAGGAATATTAATGACTAACAAAAACAAATCTATCCCCCAGGAACCGTATATTTTTTTGGGGATAAAAAGTAGTATATTATTCCAAACCATAATCTATCTCTGTGCCAATTTTCATCCAGATCCGTTCAGCCGTTCTGGCGTGGATGAGTAACAAACACCCATACATACTCACAAACTGACTCACGTTTATAATATTAGTATAGATTATGTTCTTCTGAAATGTTTTTAAGATCGTGACATCGATTAGTAAAATATTATCTAATAGAATTAGGTTTATATTCTAACTAGTGATTTACCCGACCCGAGTAATAAGTAAGTTATCACTAAACAAAATTTAGTTAAAATCGGTTCAGTACTTTTGTTGCGTGAAACGCGCACATCGATTTTGCTGAGTTACTGTTTTATTATATATGTATAGATAAGAACACACAATATATAAGTCAAATATAAAATATTTTTAAAAATAAATATTATTACCAATATTGTGACATTTACATTGTCAAAATTTATTTCACAATTAATTATAATTCATTAAAACTAGTGGGATATACGAGATAATAAGAAGAGAAGAGATAAAATACTGAAGATGGATTCTGGACTTACTTATTTATATATAAAACAAAGAAAAGATTTTGGCAAACAACCAAGATTTTGTGAGGTTCCAGTGGCAATGTTAGATTCAATTAATCCTGAAGAAAAGGAACAAAATTTGTTTTGCCTACGTAATCCAGTACACCAAGGTATGCAGACATCTGGTACATTATCTGAACATTATGTAAATACTAAAAGAATTATTCTACATGACCAGGGAATTAACCATGCTGAAGGTGGTTGGCCAAAAGATATTAATTCCACTGACGAAGAAGCAACGACTCGCCATCGAAGACGTTTTGAACGTGACGAGTCTTACGTTCAAGCAATTTTAAATTCATATAAAAAAATTAATCATTTAATCAAACAAAATAATGCTATAGAAATGTATAACATGTATTTCAAAGAAATGAAATCCGAAAAGCCAGTTGAAAAATGTCTAATGCGCAAAACTAATGTATTTAGCGACATTGAGAAACGTCCCGTTGCTTCTATTAGCTGGACACATGAAGACAATTCGAAATTGGTTGTTGCGTATTGTAATAAAAACTACTCTGTGACTGGAAAAGTCGATAAATCATTATCATGCTCAATTTGGGATATAGAAAATCCAAACGATATTTTTGCTGATATTTTACCTCCTTCAGCTTGTTGGCAAATAGTTTGTTCTTCTGCGAATCCTAATATTATAATTGGTGGATTGGCAGATGGTAGAGTTTGCATATTTGATATACGTACTCGAAAAGAACCAATTGCATTAAGTCCAACTCATTTGGCACATCGAGACCCTGTAAGCGCCCTATTATTTATTTCATCTCGGATTAATGCTGAAATTTGCAGCGGATCTAGTGATGGCAAATGCATGTGGTGGGATATACGAAGCTTATCTGAACCAATTGATTCCCTTATTATGTCTATTCGAATCCCTCCGGGAGAACATGTCAGTATGGCTAATGCTGAAGCAGTAAGCGCATTACAATTTGATAAAGCATTTCCTACACGATTATTATGCGGTACTGATACTGGATTTATAATAAATATCAATCGTAAAGGCAAAACTCATCAAGAAATAATGAGTGGTATTTTTCAAGCCCACAGGGGTCCAGTTAAAACAGTTCAACGTAACCCGTCTTTATCTAAAATGTTTATTACATGTGGTGATTGGACCGTAAACATATGGAGCGATGACATACATTCTAATCCTGTTATGTATGGTACGTCTCATAGAAAACAGGTTTCAGATGTTGCATGGTGTCCTCTAAGAATTTCAAGTTATATGTCGGTTTGTGATGACGGAAAATTTCGATATTGGGACTTATTACGCAAATATCATGAGCCTGTGGCTACATTACCTGTTTCTAAAAATCGGCTCTTAAAAGTTAAGCCAAGTGAAGATAAACCGCTTGTTGCAATAGGAGATATAGAAGGATCTATACATCTAATATCGTTATCTGAAAATATGGTATTTGCTGCAGATCGAGATAAAACACTCATGTCGCAATCGTTTGATCGTGAATCTCGAAGGGAACATATTCTTGAAAGTCGATTCAAAGAAATACAATTTAAGCTCAAAGCAGATATAGGAGTACAGCGCGGCTCTACTACTGAAATAATTGATGAAGAGGCTTCAGTAAGAATAGCCGAGGAAAATTATAGGCGCATGGTTGTAGAAGAAATTCGTAATACTGGAGCAACACAATATCCACGTGGAAGAACAGGCAAGATGCGTAAACGATAATGTTCTCATTATATCTAAATTATTTTTCTTCTATTATATTTGCAGGTGAGGAACAATATATTATTTTTATGTTATTATTGCGTATAGGATGCGTAATCTTAATTTGAACAAAATTACAAACAATTTCGAAATATTATTAATATTAAATATGATTTTTACTGTTAATTAAAGTAATAAATATTACTTTGGCAGTAATGTTTCCAATTTTAATATCTTACGATACCTTCCACTTATTGTAATTCGTTTGTTATCTGCAGAGTGTGTAGGTACATAATATAAGTATGTATATTTATAGCGTTATATAGCGCTCACGTTCTAAGTAAAGATGACATAATTACATAGTTTCAATAGTGAATAACTGTGATTAGATATTTTAAAAGAATAAAGTTTTTTTTTCTTAATCTAGTAATTATTTTCATGATCCAAAATTGTTTTTTTTTTATTTTGTATACTAGCATTGGCCACTGCTCCACCCGCGTTCAGATGACCAAAAACCAAATTCTTAGGTTTTACATATTGTAGTGTAGTCTTACATTGCAGTTTTTGTATTTTTTTTCAGAAATGAGACATTTTCCCGCGGTAAAAAGTATTCTATATGTTGACCCGGATAACCAGATATCACCATATCAAATTTCATCATGATCCCTCCAGTAGTTTTTCTGTGATGCGGTAACAGACAGAAATTCTAACAACTATAGATTTGGCCTCTGTATCAATAATAATGTTTATTTCAATAAGATTTTCCAAAAAAATATTTAATGTACAGATTCGGCTTAGTTACAATTTTATTATATGTATAGATTATAATTTATTTGTTTACATAGTTTGTTTGCTTTCTGCTCCGTAAATGTGGAGAATTTTGTAGTTAAATTATATTTGCTAGACAGCTATTATGAGTGTAAGTTATTTGAAAATAAATCGTAACGCCTCGTTTATTTATAAAAATATAAGATATCTTTTATCTCAAGCTATGCAATCTTTATCATTTTTCAGAAGCATATATCGAGACTAACCTTCCTATGCTTATAAAAGTAGAATGTCAAAATATACCATTGCTGATATACACATATAAAGTTTTCGCCAAAAATTTACCTTTTATATTGAAATTTAGAGTTTCCGCTCAATTCCAATTTAGAGATAGAAACTGGCTAAAAGTTGAATTGCATGAAATATTTGCACGGTATATTTTTGTTTATTTACAAATAAGATTTAAAAGTAATAATAAATAATTTAACACTGGCAACACATTCCAATTCAAGAAAATCCAATTAGTGGATTAAGAATAGTTTTGTTCTATCTGCCTTATATTTATAGTGTAAATTATGTTCGCAATTTGTATATTTGACTTTACAGGATGCAATATTGGGTTTGTACTATGCACTTTCATTATTATTGGTGTAGATTTTAATATTTATACATAAAATTTAATTTTTTTGTGTTATCTAAATTTATTCAATGTTTTTTCTTTTACTAATCCCTCTCCAAAAGAACTCGTTTACGTAAGAGTGGCAAGCTTTATAAAGCTTTCATGCCGTTCTAGAAAATGTTTGCTATTTAGAATCACCTTTCATACCTGCGCTAGTGAAGGTCTAACCAGAGTCAAGTTCTTTGAGTAGGTTATTCGAAACCCTGACAAATTGCAATGAAAAGCAACAAGTTCATTTTGAGGCCATTCTGTAGTACTCTTTTGATTTAAAAAATCCTATCGGCTAAATTTAGATAACAATAGATAAAACGTGACCTAAACTTTTTAGGAAATATATTCAACTTTTTTTATTTTAAAATTAATCTGTTAAAGAATTATTTTGAAAAAATAAATTATTATAATAGCAACATTGAAAATACCGATTTTTTCGTCGTAAAACTTTTGCCAAATCCTTTCAGCAGTACAAAAGATGTACTGAAGAAGAAAAAAGAAGAAGAGAAGAAGAAGATTGAGAATACCGATATATTGTCTCTCATTTGTCGCATAATTTTATATTTGCATAGGTTTTAAGTTCCAAAATATATAAAGTAACCTATGTACATGTATTATGTTGGGTGAATTTGTGCAAGTTACTAGAATTGATATAAAATATTTTCTTGTGCGTAAATTCACACAATAACATTAAAAACACACAAAATTTTATTTATTTCTTTTTCTATTTTTAGTATTTAAAACAGAAAAAATAATATTTTTCTTTATTTTTGATTAAAAGTATAATAATATAACTATATTCAACTGAATTTTTGAATATTTATATACAATTATAATAACAATATAGTATAAATACAATTAAAATAATAACTATTCCATATCTAGCTCATACAAATATTTATAAAAAACAACTTAAATACTGAAATATTTTTATTTATCTGCCTACTTATACTCATTAATCTCTAGAACAGCTGAATTAAATCTAAACCTGCCAATGCAATTAGTTATTAGAGTAAACAAAAAAACGAAACCGTATTGAATGATAAATATGTTGTTTGCACTAAAATCATTATTATTATTACCACTTATTTTAAATTGTTATTCAGAAAAAAAAAACAAGTTCTACCTTCATATAATATTTAATATACCTACCAGAAAATTTTCTTTTCGTAACTGCCTATTTCCTATTCATATTTTTATATCCGAATGCATAATAGAGGGTTCGGGTAATTAAATAGCGCCATGAAAACCGAAATGTTTTATTAATATTTTTATGTGTTTATTTCACACGAAAACGGTCTGAAATTCATCATTCTGAGCTCGTTCTCGGTTACAGTCGTTTAGATTTAGGGTGTAGTTTATTAGCATTGAAATTCTTTACTGCGTAACATTATATTATACTAGCATTGCCCGCGGCTCCGCCCGCGTTCAGGTGACCAAAAACCATATTCTTAGGTTTTACGTATTAGTATACTCTTACATTACAGTTTTTGTATTTTTTCACAAAAATGAGATATTTTCGCGTGGTAAAAAGTATCCTATATACTGACCCGGATAACCAGCTGCCATCATGCCAAATTTCATCAAAATAAGGTAGCAGGTAACAGATAGACAGACAGACAGACAAAAATTCTAAAAACTATAGATTCGGACTCTGTATCGATAATAATGTCTATTTCAAAAGGATTTTCCAAAAATATTTAATGTACAGATTCGGCTTAGTTACAATTTTATTATATGTATAGATGACGTAAGCCTAGATAATTGCGTCGGGCGACCTGATTCGTGTTTTTTAATAAAGAAAAAATATGAACTGCGATTTTGTACTAAACCTATCGCCTTTCACAAACATATCTAGATCATCTACAGCATCTGATTAGGTCTTAATATTTCAGGCCCGTTTCTTAAAGATATTACTTAGTATCTAGGTAATAAATAATAATATTCTTTATTGTACACCAAAATAAATATAAAATAAAAAAAAACAATACAAAGAAAAGATGCACAGCAGGCGGCCTTATCGCTGGAAGCGATCTCTTCCAGGCAACCTTGAGGTGGAGGAGTAAATGTTCATAAAAACGGTAGGCGGTGTACTTGCTTTAACACGTTTACTATATATAAATACTTATAGATAAATAGATACATACATACATACATACATACATACATACATACATACATACATACATACATACATACATACATACATACATACATATATACATACATACATTCATACATACTTATATGCGTTAAATTTACACACACACATAAAAAAGAAAAAATCAATCAAAAAATAAATAGGATTAGATACTAGAACATAATAGAGGAAATAATAATAACGATGATATTAGGAGAAAGGACTAAGGGAAAGACTTAAAGAGACATATAATAATCTTTTAATAACTTTTTAAATTTATCTAAGCTTTTAGCAGATCTAATGCTTAAAGGAATAGAATTCCACAATCGAGCAGTTTTTACTGTAAAAGAATTTGTGAAGAAACAGGAAGAGTGAGTAGGAATTTTAAGAAGGAAATTTTGAGCAGAGCGAAGTGAACGAGCATGGGAATCATCCAGAAACTCAAAACGCTCTTTCAGATAAATAGGAGTTGAAGGGTTAAACAGCACGCAGTAGAGAAGATGAAGAATATGAGTATTCCTGCGGAATCGGATTGGGAGCCACTTGAGCTTTTTACGAAATTGAGAAACATGGTCATATTTTCTAAGGCCGAAAATAAACCGTATACAAAGATTTTGGAGTCGCTCAAGTTTATTCAAGTGCTCCTCTTTGATGTCGAGATAACAAATGTCAGCATAATCAAGAATCGGTAGTAGGAGTGAATTTGCTAGCGCAATTTTGGTAGGAATCGGAAGGAAATTTCGGATTCTGCGAAGAGAAGCAATCGCTCCAAACATCTTCCGGCTCAGTTCACTCACTTGCGGATCCCATGACAGGTGTTGATCAATAAGTAAACCCAGATTTTTAACTTTTTTCTGAAAAGGAATCTGAACACCATCTAGCAATATTTCTGGTATTTGTATAGTTTTAATTTTTGACAACATCCTTTGACTGCCAATAATAATTGCCTGCGATTTCGTTGCGTTTAAGTTAAGGCCGTACGATTTACCCCATGTAGCTATAGAGGAGAAGTCTTTGTTAATATTTTCTATTGTTTGTGGTAAATCAGCCACAGATGTCACGGCATAAATTTGCAAATCGTCTGCATATAGGTGGTAGTGAGAAGAAATTTGGAGACAAATAGTATTAATAAAAACTGAAAATAAGAGAGGAGACAACACGCCACCTTGTGGAACACCGGCAGTAACTTTGCACCAATCGGAGTAAGAATCTTCAATCCGAACTCGTTGCCGGCGATCGCACAAGTAAGAACGAAACCAGTCAACGACCTCAGGAGATATGTTTAGAGAAGATATAATAGCAAGCAAGATGTCAAAGTCCACCGTATTAAAAGCATTACTAAAATCTAGTAGAACCATCACAGTAAGTCTTTGATGCTCCATACCTTTCCTGATATCATCTGTTATTTTGACTAAAGCCGTAGTCGTACTATGATTAGGA